CGTCGCATTCTCCTGTTTGTTCTGTTGGATTAGTCGTTGGCGACGTTCCCTGATGTACTTCCAGTTGGATTAGAACCGGACGTTGTGAATCGCGTCACAATTGAACAAGAGCTGTGCAGGCGTTGCACGCAGGTGGTATGAATCGTGGTATTCATTGCAAAGCAAACCACCGTGAGGACTCCATCCCAAGATCCGTTCCGAGGTCGTCTTGGTACTTGTTGTTTTGAACAGCGTTCAATTTGCGTATGGTCTGATGAGCCCGCTCGACCATGGAGTTGGCATGAGGGTTGCGCGTGGACTTGCGACGAAGTCCATCATTATCCCGGAGAGTCTCTCGACCTCTGCGCGGAACTCACGTCCTCTATCCATGATACCTCAGCAGGCCATGGAAACCGAGTAAGCCCGTTTGTTCTAGGACGATGCCACTTGTTGCGCCTTGGAGCAATATCTCTAGCCATTCGCCATCCGGTTACGGATCATCATGTACAAAGCAATGACTGTGTACGGAATTCTTGTTCTTAGATCCCGACGTTGAGCGACCTTCGGTCAATACATAGTCTTTCCAAGGGATCTCCTCGCAAATCTTTGGCGGCATCAATCCCAGCTTACGCGTCTTGGGTTTGTTCATCTGCCAGCTCTGGCAACGCTGAAATACGGCCTGAACAGTCTTTGCGCTGTCCTTTCCAGGTTTAGTGTTGTCTGATGGTTTGTTCTGTGCGAGTCTCGCCAGAATGCATCAGCACACCATGGTACCTTTCAACTAGCTTCTTCTGCATTTTTTTAGGTACGACGATTTCATCGTCCTTAACTACTAGTGTCGACTTCTCCCCTCTGGGGAAATATTTCTTCTTGTAGTCGTTTGGTTTGTCCCTGAGGGGTTTCTTGGTATCGTTGTCGTATTTCTGACGATGTTCGATCTGACGATGTTCGATCTAAGGGAACGAGAGAGGGAAACCGCTAGGGAAGTCCTCTTAGTATGCAGCCATGAGTTCACCGATCTCGCTGGCGTCCAACTGTTCTGAAGAACCATCAATGTTGGAGATGTTAAGTCACGACAACGCAACAGCGACGATGTTCTGTTCTCCCTTGATGTACCGTAGTTCAGGGCCGTATCTTTCCAGAATAAGGCGCCAACGCATTACGCGATCGGTAATGAACTTCTTACCTGTAAGATTCTTTTGGTCCGTATGCACACGTCTTCTGTCTTAGAAGAATGTTACTGAATTCTTTCAGATTTTCTACGATATTGAGAATTTCCTTCTCGGTTACTGTGTAACGTTTCTGATCAGGGTTGAGCTTTCTGCTTTAGAACGCGATAGGTTTTCCCTTCGGTGAAATTACTGCACCTAGTTGAGTATCACTCGCATCCGTGTGGATAACGAATGTATCATTTAAATCAGGGTAGGCGAGGTTTCTTAGCCGATGTTCTTCTTCTTCTGGCTAAAGGCTTTGTGGTGTTCGGCTTCCCATTTCCACGTCGTTGTTTTGGAAGTCACGAAGCGAGTGGGGCCAGACATGTGATCGTCTCATCCACATATCTCGATAGTATTTCACTATTCCAATGAATCTACAGAGTTACTTTCTGTTGGTATGAAGAGCGATATCTGGATCACATCTATTGTCCTTTAGTAAAGGGTTGGATTCCTTCTAGAGTAATCCAATAGCCTAAATATTCAAGTTCTCCTCTTGCGAAGAAGGACTTGTGAGCATTGATCTTAAGTCCAGCTTCTCGAAGCCGTCGGAAAACTTCATCCAACATTTCAACGTGATCTGCCAGATCCCCGTTAGTTAGGATGAGTGTATCATCAATGCTCTCACGGACGTATTCTAGGTAGTGCATTCGTGTTCCCATCTTCTCTTGGAAGATGTCGGACTATTACATAGGCCCAATGGCCACCTCTGGTACTCGTACTTTCCCACGGGAGTACGATGGACGCGTTGCTTCGAGTGAGTGACAGCTCGATGTGATAGTATCCCATGTTCGGGTCTAGACTATTAGCGTACTTGAATCCATCTAGCTTCAAGCGCATGTCTTTTCTTTCATTTTTAATATTTTTTTTTTTGTTATTCTGTATTTGGGATGGTAGGCTTTCGCGTTCCTTTTGTTCGGTTCCCGGAAATCATAGATTAATCGTACAGATCCATTTTGCTTGGGAATGATAAAAGTTGGTGCCGCCCACTCGCAACGATTCACCTTCTTGAGTACCCCTGCCTCGCAGAGACGTTCACCTCCATCTTAAGAGTGTTGAGTACACGGGATAGGATAGCCCTGTCATGGTAGGGTTAGCATCGGCTGCGACGTCTCTACTTCGTATCGTCATCTGCACTTTTCCTAATACCATCGATAGTCAGGTACTGTCGTCAGTAAGGATGAAGTGTTTCCTTCTCTTCTTTGTTTAACTGATCTTGACTTTGGCACACCTGCCTTCAAGTTCAGTTTGTTCGTATTTCGCTTCAAGAATCTTTGAACGCTCTGGCCTTCATCACAGCAGTAGTCAGAATGAAGAAGTGCTCATCTTCTTCATGGTCGTCATGTCTTTCATAGGAATAGATGCGCCGTTCCACTCCACTGAACATGGTGGTGAAATCGAACTTAATTCCTAAATCAGAGAGAATATCTCCACCTATGATCATGTCATACACCCACAAGCTCTTGTGCCGTGTAAATCCCCTCGGAAGTCTATATTCGTGTAATTCAGGAATCCTGAATGCACTTTTGCACTTCGTGCTGGTGTCTATTCTCCTGCAGGGGTAGTCCACATTGTTTGGACGCCCCCAATCTCCTTCATGCGTACTTTCTTTGCATGAGGTTGAGCAATCAGGGTTACGGATGCTTCTGTATCCGGTAAGCAACGGAGTGTAACGGTTTTTTGTTTCCCTTTTTCTCGCTTTTTAATTACTGACGAGGGTTGGGTCTCTTTGCTGTCGACGTTTACGCGGTGGTTCGCCACGGACGAGGTTACGATGCTAATAGATCTCAGCGTCTAGTGCGCGCTTTAGGCCATACATTAATTGCGTAGTGTTCTCAGTTGCCACATTTTGTGTACTAGTTAGATATCTTCATCATTTTGGTATGAGAAATCGGACATGGTTCCGTTGAGTCTTCATCCTGTCCTAATCCTCAGATGCGTTTCCCTCCAGTGATGAAATTGAGGAGTAGATCCTACTTGTCAGAGTCTTCTGATTTGTCTTTGGCAACAAGTGTTGCACGAGTATCGTCGTTTTCTTTTCTTCGTCATTGTCGACAGAGAGGAAGAAGTGGGTTTCAGTCACAACTGTTTTCTACGAAGTTGACGAACGCATGCTTCCTTGAGCACTCTTCATGGTGAAGGATAGGTTGACGGTAGCTGAAAGCTATTGTGTTTGTTAACAAAATGCACTACGTAAAGCTAGTGTAAAGATCTTCGAGTGTTTTGAGTTTTGAGAGAAGAAAGTTATGAGGATAAAGCTATGAAAACTATATTCAACGCGGAGTCACAATCAAAGGATCAGTAATCTGACTCCCGCGGGAAGAATGTAAAGTTGTGATAGAGAAGGTTGTCGGTAGTAATCCTACTCGTTCCCCGACAATCCAAAACAGGAACGCGTGGATATGCGTCTAGCATTTATCTAGTAGCGGTGGAATCTCTCCACGCCAGCTAAATATCTAGCGCGATGTTTCACTATCGACCTAGTATGACTAGCGGTCATGAGAACCCTGTCTCAATGACTATTCACGAGAGACTCAGTCATGAGTCGAACTCAAACCCTATCTAGGATCGAGTCGCGAATAAGGCTAAGAGCCGTGTATTGCACTGCCATCTCGGCAGTGAAAGGATCGAAGTCGTGTTCGTCCATTTTGCGCATCCAGGAGCGAGGAATGCCATGACAGATGATGTCGATGAACTCGTCCTGGTTCAACTGTTGATTGACACTGAAGGGTGGCAAACGTGGAAGCTCATCGGTGTTCATCCGAGTGAGGTTGTTGATGTAGGCGCGAGTTGTCATCTCGCTAGGCTTACGCATCTTGCGACGCATGAAGCGTTTCTATTTTTCGAGAGCCTTGTAAGGACAGGCTGCTTCGATAACCGCGTTGATTCCAACGGTGATGTCCTCATTGCTTAGCGCGGGTTCCGCTGCACCGTCCCATGTGGCTTGAACACGAGCTTGGAATTGGACTTCGGTTTCTCCAGAACCCACGTCGCGTGGAGCAACTGCGTTTACAGCAATTTGTCGTAGGTTGTGGTGACGCACGGCACGATGGCCTGCACACCCAGCTTCGTAGGCACTCTTCGCAGAGCTGGAAGTCATCTCCTTGAGAAGGCGATGTTTGTCGTCGGCATTGGCCAGGTTGAGTCCAACGAAGACCTTCTCCATATTCGTAGCCCACTTGATGGTCTGACGCGGAGTGTTGGAACCATTGATAATGGCTACCTTGAAGGTATATTTGGCACTGTTTGCATCTGCAGGAACGGTGCGAAGTTTGTAGGTGGTTGCACGAGTATCGTCGATCTCGGCTTCTTCATCGTTGTCCACGAGAGGAAGAATGGGTTTGTCACGCAACTGTTTCTCGAAGTTGGTGAACGCATGCTTTCCTTGAGCAATCTTCATGGTGAAGGAATAGGTTGAGGGTAGCTGAAAGCTATTGTGTTTGTTAACAAAATGCACTACGCTAAAAGCTAGTGTAAAGATCTTTCGAGTGTTTTGAGTTTGAGAGAATGAAAGTTATGAGAGAGATAAGAAAGCTACGAAAACTAATCCATGAGAGAGATCGTTGTGAAGCTCATTGAAGTTGGTCTCCCGTGGGAGGCCTCGAAGTGTGATATCATAGGTTATGGTAATAACTCTACATACTCCACGGTCCATTTCCGGAACACATGGAAACTTCAGCTAGTTGCTGTCTAGTAGCGTGGAAGCTTTCCACGCCGGCTAAATGTCCAGAGCGATGTTTCATCGACAACCTAGTATGACTAGCAGTCATGAGAACCCTGCCTCAATGACTATTCGCGAAGGACTACGTCATGAGTCGAACTCAAACCCTATCTAGGATCGAGTCGCGAATAAGGCTAAGAGCCGTGTATTGCAATCGCAAGGTGGTCCATGAACTCTACGGCAAAGGGAGCTTTGAATTGACCATCCGTACAGCCTGCATGTTGAAGCAGCAAGTCCATCTCATCACCAGAACGGACGACATCTCCAAGTTGAAGTATTCCGACTACAAGCCACATCCAGACTTCCCTTTTGCGCTCAGTTGCAAGGTGCATTGGTCCAAGAATATTTCGGAAGAAGGACAATGCCCCGACCAAATCATTCTTGGGTCGATGGATACCGACTTTTGTGCTATGCTCGGATTGGTGAATTACATGGAGGCGTCCTTCAACTACGGGTATGGCGCCGCTGGTCGGGAAGATGCATTCCTCTTTACTCCCGAAAGCGATCCCAAGTTGGCTCCCAAGCACTGCAACGCAGCCTACCGCAACATTCTCAAGGCTGTCTTTTTGTCGGCTCCATTTCTGGCTGTGGCGCTCCTCATTGCCGGTGTTCTTGGGAGTCACAGCATTCGGAAGTTTGCTGCAACTCTGGCAAGAGGAATGGGTGCTACTGCTGACGAAGTTGACATTCGATATCGCTGGAAGGCTCGCTTGTCTGGACGGGTTGTTGATGCCTACATTTCGCCTGAACAGCCCTGGATCGACGCCCGTGTTGCCGAAAAGCTTTGCATGGGGGCTCCTATTGCCTACAAGCTACACCCGGATGCCAAGAGAGTGACTCCCGACTGGCTGATTGAGCATGTGGTGCCAAGGACACATGCCTTTTACGACGGTGTCAACGACATTTCCCTTCACTTGGCTCTGCCTCTTTTGTGGGCTGCTCTTGACGAATCTTGGGAGGAGAGGATGGAGCCTCCCGTTCGTGTTAGGATCCAAGATGCGTACGAGCGCATCAAGGCCGATATTCCTGTTGGTGTCAACCCTGTGGTGAAGGTGCCTCTCTCTATTTGGACGCACAACACCAAGCTCCACATCAACGAAATCGAGCCGATGGATACGGGAGGTGGCGGTGGCACGGCTGGTGGCACTACGGGAACGACCGGCCAGGCAAGCACTCGTCAAGTTGCCAATCAGTCTCGGCAGGTGACGGCTATGCAAACGCAATAGCAGGTATGAACGAACGAGGAGATTCTGACAAGGATTATTGCGCAGCACAACCAGCTCCAGCAGCTCATTGCGCAGGAAGGTAGGACCCGCGACAGTTCGGCTGCTGCTTTGAGAGGTTGGTTGGAGACTTGGCTTGGCGCGGAGCTGACGAAACTCAATGGAAATATTGCAGGTAAGTGTGACTTGTGGCTGTTTGCTATTGCAACTATGGCTATTACTGCTGCTAAATATGTATTTTTGTATGCTTTTTAGGATTGCTGTTCAGACTCCAAGGATGGCAACACCTGATCAGGTAGATGGTAATCTTTTTAGAAATGGGTTGACTGTGGAAAGGACTCGCCGGAATGGCCAGACTAGCCTCAGGTACAGACAAGCTGTGGCCACCACCCCTGCTGATAGTAGGCCTGCCCAAGCTAGCCAAGTACAGAACTGTTGGCTCTGCTTGGCAAGAGTGGATGCATGGTATTGGTGGCAACAAGCCAGCCAAGAACTTCACTGCTGAAGATATTAGGGCTTGCAAGTCAACCTACTCCAGGAGGAAGCCACTCTGGACTCTCATGGCTACACTTGTCAATGCTCAGAAAGCTCCAGCTTGGGTCATCTCCAAGATTGAGGAGCATTACAAAGGAAGTGTTTTGAATATTACTGCTGCCATCAAGCAGGACACCATTATGGGCAGTCTGCATGAGGATCTTTGTGTTGTTCGTGCTCAGTAAAGTTGACCTTAGTTTAATCAGCATGGTAGCCATGCCTTATAGTGAGTCTGTTATATGAGTACTTATTGTGTTTTCGTTTTCGTGGACTTGTGCTTTTCGAACGGATTTCGAGGACTTGTGCTTTTTCGAACGTACGTGGGTAGGTAGTTACTAGTAGTAGCTAGTAGCTAGCGAGCGATTTCGTGGATTCGTGGACTTGTGCTTTTTCGAGTTTTCGAGATAATAGAGGTGCGACGTTATCTTAACGGTGAGTAGTAGAGGTGCGAGCCTCATTTTTCTTATGTGCGAGGACGTGACCTTCACTAGGTCATCGACACTGGTATAGAGGAACGATCGTACCCAGCATACACCAGGTGTTGGTGGTGTTATACCTCGATCGATAGGATGGATACCTCCTGTAGGATGGCTACCACAGGTACAGGCTCTCAGTATTCCTCTCAGTTCAGGGATATACTTTTACGGTACAGCCGTGGGGACGGGGTAGACAGGAAGCCCCCTGATAGAGAGCATGGCCAGCCATCTTTTGGCTTGAATTCAAAAAACGTCCCCTACCAGGTACCTGTGCAATTGAACAGGCAAGAATTTGTACCCCTGTATATCTGTATAGGATCTTGCCTGTTCAATTGCACAGGAAATGGATGGCATGTTCATACAGTATGCACAGGCTCCTGTCCAAGCATACAGGATTTGATACTTCAATTTTTCTCTAAGTCCAAATTCAAGTTGCACCATTAGGAAAATAGATCATTCAATACTTACATGTACGACTGTAGAGTGATACACACATGAAGACCAACTATACAATAAGGTCCGTGTAATACTCTAGGATTATCATGCTCCACTACAGAAATCAGCAATCAGAGAATCAAGTCAGGATCAGCGTGTAAGGAGGCACATGATGTTGCCTGTTCGATAGCACATGAAGGTTCCTGTTTGTTGGTACAGAATCCTCTGTGGACGAGCATTGCCTATTGGCTAGTATCACTTTACATGTAATTTACCTAATAGTGTAACTTGACTTTGGACTTAGAGAAAATTGAAGTATCAAATCCTGTATGCTTGGACAGGAGCCTGTGCATATGAACAGGCTGGGCTGTCTATTTCCTGTGCAATGGAACAGGCTAGTCTGTCTATTTCCTATGCAATTGAACAGGCACCTGTGTAATTGAACAGGACTCCAACGTCCTGTTCAATTGCACAGGAATTGCGTCCCCTGTTCAATTGCACAGGAATCGCTTTGCCTGCCATGCCTGGATTTGGCTGCAGGCTTGCTCTCTGAAAATCCTGCGCAGAGAGTCTTCCTCGACTCCCAGCCACCGCCTCAGCTGTCCGCAATCTGGTTGGCAGGGCAGTTCATTATTTAAGTACGACCAAATACACCTAGAGTATGTAGTGTCGAAACAATAGTGCTAGTAGCGTTGGGGAACAACAGTGATATCCAGTGCACCAGTGCACCAATCCAAAACCGTTGGAACCCAACATTGAACTGAGAAGCCCCTAAAAAAAAGGACATCATTGTCCTCTTCCTTTGGTGGCTGCTCAGAGCAATGAGGGGCTCCAAGCTAGCACTATCTGCAGTGGCAGCCAGTCTAATTGGAGCATGTGTGCTACCACATTGCTCCGCTTAGAGTCATGGCTACAGTGAACATGCTGTACTAGTATGTATGGTGCTGTCTACCCCCTGTCGTTTTAGTGAATGATGTACAGGACCGTTCGACGTTTTTCACTCAGGCTTTAAACTTTACACGACTGACTCCAGTACAATTAAGGGCTTGTTTTTTAAGGGCTTGTTTAAGGGCTTTTTGAAGCTTTAAGGGATTGTTTTAAGGGCTTGTTTATTTAAGGGCTTGTTTGCTCCTAATAAGGGCTTGTTCTATGGGGTTTACACGAAGGCTTAAGGGTTTGTTTTGAGAACATAAGGGCTTGTTGTTAAGGGTTTGTTTTTTAAGGGCTTGTTTAAGGGTTTGTTGAAGATTTAAGGGCTTGTTTAAGGGCTTGTTTCCAGTCGTGTGAATTTGAGGACGGTCCAGTACACAATAAGCCAACTAAAAAGGCATGATAATTGTCAGATCTTTTTCGGAAAGATACTGGTATCCCAAAACCAGCAACAGCGTTCGCACAGATGACTTCCCTGCCATCTCAGTGCGATGAAAAGGAAAGGAAGTAGACGAGATGCATCGCCTCAATCCTTCTTATTACTACAGGTACCAGTTGGTCCTCTTTGTGTTCCTTTTGATTTCCATCACTGCTACACATGCGATCCAAATCTCGGACCAAGAACGGCGCGAAGGATTTGCAGCTCGCAACTACAGCTGGCCCATTGAGAAAATGGTCCCTCCCACGGAAGGATGGGATCGTCTGATGCGACGAAGAATACGTCAAGTCGAAGCACTTGAGTCTACACGCACGGGAAAAATCGACCAATGGGCATCCGTGTTGGGCCAAGCCTTGGTACTTCCCAATTTTACTCAATTTGGATGGGCCGTTGCCAAAGCACCCGAGGAGCTTACGGCAGAACTGCAACAAGCCGTACATTCTAGAATGCACGACCACGAGAAAACGTGGGAGGAAGACGATATCGCCATTGTGGGTGATTTCAAACCACTCATGGTGGAAATGCTACCAGGATTGATTGACAAGGCATTGACAAGGTTGCATCCCTACCACGAAGCTTGGACGGGGATACCCCTCAAAAAACAAAAGGGGTATGGACTGCGAATCTACAAGAACAATTCACAACTCTACATGCATCTAGACAAGATGGAGACACACATTATTAGTTGCATATTCCACATTGATCATTCCGATGACGCACAGCCCTGGCCACTCGTCATTGAAGATTTCGAAGGGATCACCCAACATGTGCACTTGAACAAGGGCGACATGCTACTATACGAGTCGGCCAAGTGCTTACACGGTCGACCTATACCATTCGAGGGAAGTTGGTACACTTCGTTATTCCTTCATTATTCTCCACAAGACTGGCCCTTTGAAGGAAGAAGTTGGGAGCCACAATATGCCATGCCGGATCATTGGGAAGAAGTCCGTCCCTATTCAGATAGCGATCAAGAACAGTTTGGTGAATCACTCCCACATTTAATTGCCGTCGACACGGCCATGTACGAACAAGGGTGTCCGAACAAATGGTGTGGTGTCCAAGACAAGGCGTCTTGGAACGGAGTGGCCAAAACAAACGTGGCCGTTACATCTCATGGAATAGAGGAAGTTCTTTCCATCGTAGAGAAAGCGAGCAATAGTGAAGAGACTACCGTTAGAGATGACGAGCTTTGACGACAGCAAATAAATAATGGCCAGAAGCAAAAACAATTTGCTTAGAGAATTGTCGTTCTTTCGGTTGCTATCCAGACAATGAAAGACCAGAGAGATTACTCAAAAAGGGTTGCTCTTCGTTGCAGATTGTAGCAAGACAATGAAAGCGGAACTTTAGCTAGCCACCAGCTCATACTAGTAGCTTTGCGGTCTCTCAATCTCTCAATCTTCCTTCCGTGCTGAATGTCTCGCTTTGAGTACCGGCACTACCAGAAGCTTTAGAGGGAATCGAGATAGGATTTGTTAAATCCCATTGGATCTTTCTTTTGGATCTTTCCCACGCAAATAAGGCCTCAAAAGCATGCAGCACCAACTGCCGACAGCTTCGTCGTACTGTAGTGTCTAGACTATTGAGCTGGGCAGGATCTGATACCATTGGAAGAATACTAGGCTGGAGCCACTGCTTGTGAAGAGAGATGGCAGTACGATTCCGAAGCCTGGTTAGTTCGCTATTGCTGCTGAGAAGCTCCGCCTTTCTTCCGCTGATATCTTCGCCATCCCAACGACTCTCATCAATATCAACAACAAATACCCGCCTTTCATTGGCCAGTAGTAGCTCCGACAACATGAAGTTCATCTACGCTTTTGACTTTGACGGAGTGTTAGTCGATTCGGCTGCCGAGCTCGGTTTGTCTGGATTTGATGCCGCAAAACTGCTGTGTCCAGGTGCCCCATGGCTCACCCGCAGACTGCGACGACCGGATCAATTGGAGCAATTGATTCAGAACTTTTGCAAAGTACGACCTTGCCTGGAAACAGGTTGGGAGGCACCACTGCTATTAAAGCTGTTGACAGAAGAGAATGTCTCCATTGACCAAATATTGCACGACTTTCAGCATGGTCTTCGAGAAAAGACTCTGGAAGACTTGAATGTTTCGGTAGATCAGTGCAAGGAAGCTCTCAAGAAGGCGAGGAATGACTGGATTGCATCCGACGACAATGGCCAGGACTGGTTGGAAGCTCATGGATTTTATCAGGGTGCTTGTGATGCCGTCCGAAAGCTTCTGGAAGACCCTGAAAAAGTACCCGATGTTTTCGTCATTACCACGAAAGCTGCCGATTTTACACAACGACTGTTGGAACAACAAAGACTGGCCGGGAAAGATGCTCCTGGCGGTGGTATACCCCCCGAACGAATCTTTGGACTGGGATCCCCACCCAAAGAAAAGGTGCTGGCCCAATTACTGGAAGAGCGTGGGAGTCAATACGCTGCTGTCTTTGTCGAAGACCGTCTCCTGACATTGGACAAGACAATGTCGGATAGCGCCATCAACACCAGAGTTCTTCCCGTTGTGGCTAGTTGGGGGTACAACACCGTGGATCAGCGAGACGGCGGAAAGAAGGCTGGGTATGTCATTCTTGATGCCGAGGATACGTCCACTCTTGGCAATGTGCTCAACGATGCTGCAGCCGACAAACTTTTGACAGAACTCAACAGCAAAAAGTAAACATTAGCTTATTGAGCTTTTCGCTGATGCCACCGCGTCCGGCTTAGACGTTTGACAACGAACACGTGCGGTTCTTCTGAACTGGAGGGCCTGAAGAAAAATTTGTAGACTCGACTCGAAGCCACGGATTACCGTTAGAATAGGAAAGAGAAGATGTTCCGGCATGGTATCCCCCGGCTGGTAATGGCCCCGAATGATCATCGAATCCAGTTCGTATTGATTGGAATGTTTCAACCAGGGACACGAAGAATTCGACTATTTGGAAATATGGCTCTTCTAACCAGCCATCACCCCACACTCTTGCCCTCTAGGACATGCAAAGTGTACATGCATGTATATGTAGCTGACCTGGCAACACCCGCCATCAATTCCCACGAAACGACTGGAAGACACCAGCAAAAGATGAGCTGAAACATTCACCCACCGCCCAGCCTCCTGACAAAATCCTATCGTCAGAAAGGGGTCATATGTTGAAGCTGGTGCCTCACTTTGACAGTAGACCTACCAGATTGCATCAACTACTTCGTAGCTGATGAGAGTTTCCAAATAAATGTAGTTACCATTGTCGTACCGCACAGAAATGGTACTGTACCACACCGGTATCGGTAGATCGAATCGAATCGAATTAGCACGTCCGGTCATAGATTTATTCAAGCAGCTCAGACGTCTTTTGCTGAAGTTGTTGTTGCCACCAACCATTTTTCTCTCGTTGTGGCAGAATCAAGCAAGATGGGCAAGTCCAAGAAGCGCTCGAATGCGTCTACTACTGCTAGCACCCTGATCAAGGGATACTTGCCTGTCCGAGTGAAACTCCCTGAACCACCTGTTGGAAGCAAGGAGGGCAGCGAAAGGCTCGATGAAACTTTTTTCTTCGTCAAAGAACATCAAGGCGGGAATTCCAGTGATGATAAGAAGGGAGGCAGGACCCTCTTTGTTGCAAATGCCCCCGCTGTTCCTGGAGTGACGACAAAGCTTCTGTTGACAAACCTATTAGGTCGGTATGGGGAAATAGAAAGAGTCACCCTTGTGGGTAATCCACGCAAACAGGAATCTTCCTCATCCGACGCAGTTGCGCTGGTGTCGTCGGACTGGAAACCCTTCTTTCCAACGTTTCAAGGACCCATTCACGCTTCGGAAAAGTTTGCTCATGTGGTGTTCTCTTCCAGTCAGCGTATGCGAAAAGCTCTGCAGGCAGTGAACGAGCTCATGGCTGGAAAGGACGACAAGTTGCCAGGGATTCAACTCGAAAAACTGGACTTGCAAATGTTGAGAGATGAAACGGATCGACTCTATCAGAAGGAAACCGTTGATATGGACGACGAGCTCGAAATCGACAATAAGCCGAAGCAAATCGGGGTTGTGGCATTGGTACAACGATACAGGGCAAGCTACCAACGATTGGACCGTGCCAAGTTGCTGGCAAAATGCAACGAAGTAATGCAAGAATACGAAGACAAAGAAGAGGAACAGCGTTTGTCAAGAGAGGAGGCCGCCAATCAACCGGATGACGATGGTTTCATTACTGTAACCTCAAAATCCGTGGGAGTCGAAAGTGGTAAGCATCAGCTGGAAAAAGACAAGGGGGCGCCCCCCAGTGGGCGTCGCCAACACAAGCGGAACCGAAAGAAGAAGCAAGGCATTGGTGCCACCGAGTTGCAAGACTTTTATCGATTTCAACGGAAGGAAACTCGAAAGAGAACTCTGCAAGATCTTCGACTGCAATTTGAAGAGGACCTAAAAAAGGTCAAAAAGATGAAAGATGAGAAACAGTATAAACCCTTCTAATCCTTTCGTTACCGTATGGCTGTAACGTTGTACCGCCCGAGAAATCTAGTAGTGATAGTCTCTTCTTATTGATTTGTTCAGTACCGGGGCAGTTTTGCTTTCCATGTTGCACCGGTACCTACCGAAGGATGTGTACGTTCTAGCTTCAGTACAATTATATCGGTGAGAGAGACGTTGACGTTGACAGTGCGCTACCGCATGGTCTGGACTACAGTCGAGATGCTGGATCCCGTGATCATGAAGAGTTGAGGTATATTGATGGCCACAGATGGATTTGATTCACCCACGACCAACAAGTTCAGAGGCGTGCAACTGGTACCGATCGGCTTGAAAACTATCCCGCACCGGGGTCGTTTCCAAGAAACGGTTTTGGTTGGGATCCTGGGGTGGATGCGAAAGAAATGCTCTAGGAAATGGATCACAATCCTGTACCGGTAGCATCGAAAAAGGTGTCATTATTCTTCACCAAGGCTTGCTTCTTCACGTGAACCATGAATAGCATTTGCATCAAGGACAATGAAACTCTACTTGCAGCTTCAAGAATCATGCAAGGTGGTGGAGCAATGGAGGAGCACGGATTGCCCTTTCGACTGGCGCTGAATTTGACCCATGGAGACGGCTTTGATTTGCAGAATGTCGAATCTCTCATCAAACACCTGCAATCTACGACGCTCCAAGTCGATGAGGTGAGAATCACACCTCCCCCTGCCAACGTTGGCGACGAGTGGATGATGCAGTTGTGTTCGGCCCTTGGGACCCATCCATATCTGAGCATTCTGAGCTTCTGCGTCGCACCCGAAAGTGATCCCCATTTCATGACATACATGTCGGAAACCATTCGTGGGGCACGAAACCTCGTGAGCCTCAGCTGTTCAGGGGTAGTCTTCTCTGGAGAAACCAAGGACTACCTCGACTTTGCGGCGGTGTTGCTTGACCACCCGACTTTACAGGATGTATCGCTCACAGGATCACTTGAAGAGGGACAATGCACCAGTATCAACGCAAACCCTGTCCTGGCGGCACTTGCATCCATTCCGAACCTGAATGACTTGGCACTCTCCTGCTTCGTCCCTCCAATGACAGAGAGCCGCTCACCATTCTACGAGCTGGGTGGGAATCCCAGTCTCAAAACTCTGGACTTGGTCGGCACGGGAGGGAGGGGTATCATTGCAGCATCCATGGCAATGAAATGCAGCCGCAGCATCACGACCTTGTGGGTTGATACATCTATGAAAGAGGACGAGCTCTATGAGCTTGGGGAAACCATCCGACACAGTCAACTCGAATCCGTTCACCTCTATTTGGATCCATTCAAGGACGACGACGCCATGAACACCCTCATACAAGCTCTCAATGGGAACCCCAGTTTGACAAAGCTTGCGTTCGTTTTTCACGAAAGGGAAAATTTCTTCAGCAATGACATTCAGGATGCCATGATTTCCATGCTGGAGCACCATAACTATACGTTGCGACACATCAAGTTTGACTTGTCAACAAGCATCGAAGTGAGAAACGACTACACTGAAGCAACGATTGAATACTTTTTGAACCTGAATCGTCTTGGACGGAACCATCTGCTAACCAACCCGAATGCTAGCCGAGACGATTGGATCGCTTGCATTGCTGCAGCCAGTGGAAACTTGGAAGCCGTCCACTATTTCCTCTCCACGAATCCCTCCTTGTGCTTTGCATGATGACTTTGGTGTCCTTACTGAATAGCATTCATGCAAATATTGCTGGTATAGTAAATTTATTTTAATTGAGATTCTTTGTTCAATTGGTCTTGGTGCTCAACTTCAGTACATGTACAGGATTATCCTGTCGTTTTGGCTTTTGGTGCTATAGATCCAAGAATAACTTTGTGGTCGTTGATTTTGGTTCTAGAGTAAGCTGGAAGATTACAGTATTTCAAGTAGGTTGTATGATGATTTGTTTCTAGAACGCAGTGACGGGTGTGTTGGCCAATAAATCTTCGTTGTTCAGTGGTGCAGATGGTTGGTCGTCATATTTCTTGGCAGCAATGGCTTCCGCAAACTTGACAGATTTCGTGCGGTCCAACAAGTGTTCATGGCCCAGTTTCTTTCGAATTTCATCGGCTTGACCTGTCTTGGCAAGTTTATCGGCCGTTCTGCAGAATTTCTTGGCATCTGCTTCATCGGAAAATGTCAGTTCATAGTCTGTGTCTCCCAAGTTTGTTTGCAAAAGAGCCACTTGTCCCTTTCGATCAGTTTTCATGTCGACCAGACTAATGGCATACAGTGGGGCACTGGCGCCGGCATTCTTAAAGACAAAACAGAAGGGTCCTTTCAACAGGACTAACTTTTCCGTCTTGTCATTGTTTCTGCCACCACCAAAGAGACAACTGCATCCACCGCTAGCTCCTCCTCGGATAATTGTTGCTGTCCCTTCAAAGTCAGCACCATTGGTTCCTCGCAGTTTTGCCACGCCAGCACCGCGATCACCACTGGACCTGACAAAGCTCTTCATGCTGAAGAAACTGCTTCGTCGGCTGGCTGTTTCATTTTCGTTTGCGTTGGTCATCTTATCTTATTGTTGCTTTTTCTTTCACTTTTTGATTTTATAATCTGTACCAAGAGCTTGCGCAATCTCAGGTCCAATCTTAGCAATATCGCATGTGTGGATCATGTCACACTTCTTCCAAGCATTCGATGCCACCAGGTACATACTAGTACTAGCTAGCTAGTAGAGAAGGATACTGCAAGGAGGATTGCAGTTTGCGTCGCCTTCTTTCCTTCTTTGAGCGGACATCAACATGAAAGAATGAGGCGACACGTCAGTACCAACGAAATACGTAGGGAGGAAAGGTCGCGCAAAGGAACAGTTGGCACTCGGCATTGTTACCACTTTTGGTCGCGGTTGGAAGTGCATTATTTAGAGCTGCATGCAGGATGAAATCATTCAACTGGCTACCAGTAGAATCAATCAAAGGTGGCGATAATAGTTGGAAAGGTACTAGTAGCCAGCTAGAGCTATGGCATAGCTAGCTAGAATACTGTGTTTGACAGATACAAACTTCCACACCACATCAGTTGTCGCCATTGACCAGTTTAAGTGTCGAAGAATGCTGTGATCATGTCCGCCCAGGCTCGCTGCATACCGTCGCAACGCCCTTCGGCTCTGCAAGGCGCTTGGTATTACCGTAGGTCTTCTCGACTGGGTGCTTCAGTCTGCTTGCTTTGCACGGAGACGATACAGGGCATCAGATACAACCAAAATTGGCAGAGTGACAGTCATCCGAGCACCCCCCAATACCCCAAGCCAGATCAAAAGAATGTGTGAAGGGCACAACTGGAGCCCAGAATTGGCCATTAGACTTGCCGAAACCACCAATAAAGCCAAGGCACCTGTAGCTTTTATAATCGCATGGATAGCCCGATATTGATAGCACCATTATGGCAGGTGATACCGTACAAGCGCCAGCTGCCTGCTGAATCAAATCCGTCGTTCCCGTTATGTGAACAAATGTGTGTTTTCTGGGTCGATTGGTCGAACAGACTAACTGGCCACATCAGAGAAGCGCTTTGTGCTCTGGGCCTGCTAAAGCTACCGTTATCGTTGGCGACAGTCACCCATTGCTATTAGCAAGGAGCCTCATGTGTCGCGGGGTCACATAGTGGCACATATGAGCTTTCTGTGTGCAATTCTGGTTAGAGTCGAAATCGCACTGACGCCTGAGTTGTAAAACTGCTTCAGAATATGGCGGGTTGATTTCGGATTGGTTGTATGCACCCAGTCTGTCTACAATCAAATCCTTGTTGCGCCGGCCCATGGCAACCGAGATGTTGTAATAATTCACCATGTCTGAAAGCAGTTCCACAGCAACAGTGAATGATAAAATCCAAGCAATAGACAGGACAGGAGGCACAAAACACATCAATGGTTACTTACAACCCCAAACCCAATCAGAATGCAGACAAAACCCAAGTGTCCAGTTTGCATGATCCACATAAGGCTCCTTCGCAACATACGTGTGCATGACATCAATGAGACTCATTCCATCCCGAAAGTATTGCAACTCGCCAAGCCTATCTTTCATGAGCTTGGGGCAAAACCTTGCACTCAGCGACGTGGAATCCCTCGAAGACATCTCCAGGTCTGGCTCCCCATCCACAGCGATGTTTGAACAGACTAGTGGTTCGAGTATTGATTTTAGGGCATTCTTGCTGAAAATGGTACCCCAGCCTCCAAAAGGAAAGGTCCACTTGAAGCGCTTGAGCCTGCCTCTGACAACGCATCCTGAGACAACAATACTGTCATCTCCCTGTGTTTCAAGAACTTGTGTTTGCAAAGAGTCCAGTCCTTGGGCTACAGCCTCCATGTTGTAGTAAGTATCATCATCCATAATGATTAAGAAATCAGGAAGCTCGGGAGGGTCTGTCTTGTTGTAAGCCTGCAATGCCTTCCACAAGCCAGCCATTGGTCTCTTTTGTGCGCAGATCCATGCCACAGGATCAGTTTTAGTGCGTTGTAGCCACTCAGGCTTGGCATATTTGACCTTTAGATCATACAGCAATCGATGCTTGTTCTGAATCTCCTTCCTCAGCCCACCGCAAAAGCCACTAATGGCTCGGACATCGTTCCATGTAAGCAGATCTGTGCATTGCTTCGGTCCTTGATCAAAGTCATCTTTCTCTGTGATTTGGAAAAAGCGACGAACGGAGGGATGGCTTCCAAAGGTTTCTTTCTGTGCCTTTTGGTATTCTGTTCTCTTCAGAGAACCAACGCTGATAATGTCAAAGATAGGAAGACGAGTATTCTTTGAGTAAAAATTCTCTGGTGTGGACCCATCGGTGAGGTTCTTCTCAATCAAAGCTTCAATGGGCCACAGATCCCTGAAACCAAAGCTGTTCCATTGCAAGTTCTTCCAAACGCCACACACAACTACCAAAGCAATTGAAGCTCGAAGGACCCATTGTCTCCACATGTCATCGAAAATTTCTTTCTACTGAATTCATTATACCCAGAGACGGAAGCGCTGACCTTTGTTATAGGACGACTGTCTTCCATTCAATTACCTCTGACGAGAGAGAGAGTTCGAGAGAGAGAGGGGACCCTGTCAATGCCATGCACGTACTGTTGTCTGCAGTCCCGTTGCCCGTTGTCTTGATGTGCCTGGTGCCAGTGGAAGCAATAAGCCAAGCGAGCTGCCTTTCCACTGGAGCGAGCGCTGTTGCCCTTGAAATTCTTGACAATTCTTGGACCGGAACACCGGAACCATCCGTCAAATAAGCCAGCGAGCTGTGTAACCTCGGCAGAAAGGTTTCAGCGTAGAAGCAGATACCCCTATGCTAGCTAGCTAGCTGGAAGCAGATACCTGTAGTGCTTAGCTAGTGCTTAACTTGCACTTAGCTAGCTAGAAGCAGATCCCCCTAGCTAGAAGCAGATTCCCATAGCAAGCTAGAAGCAGATACCCCTAGCTAGCTAGAATATTAGTTATATAGCTTTCACTAGCTTTAGAGTTTTTCCTGGTAGGAGCAGCTCCCCCTACTAGGATGCATGTAAATAGCTTTAGCTGGTTTAAAAGCACCATCCTAGGATACTTATTTAGTTTTTGCTGACTTTTTTGTATGCTAACCCTACCCTTATACCTGTGGGGACCACCGTAGCAGGAAAAACAATTAAAGGGGTTGGAGGGCTCTGGCACAAGACTGCCGAGGTGATTCTTTGGTAGTTGACGTGTGGAGCAAGGACTGCACATTGACAGAATTGCGCATCCCTTCCAACAACCCATGACATGATCACTATTAATATAAGATTGGTTGCCAACCGAAAGAGCACATTAGCTAGCTAAATCAGTTGCCTACTATAAACGGTAGTTATTAGATCTCATCGACACAATAATGATAGCCTCTTCCCGTACCGGTACCCTCATGCTGCCACGCTCAAGTCGTCGTCTTTTCACGCCTAGAAGTACCTGTAGTAGAAGATCCAGCGCCACTTCTTCTACTCCAACGTCGACCCACCCCCAACACTCCGCACTGCGCACCGCTTTCCTCCACATCCAACAACGTCCGATTGAATATGCCAGCATTCCCTGCGTGGCAGCCTTTGTGGGCATTACGACCAATTGGATGGGAGTCAAAATGCTCTTTTATCCGATCGAGTATTTCGGAACCGAAATGTATCGAGAAAAGGACACTCCCTACGGCCTCTTTGGATGGCAAGGCGTCGTGCCGACCAAGAGTCAGATGATGGGAGATCGACTCACGACAATCGTCACGCAACGATTACTGAGTCTCGAGGAAGCCTTTGGGAGGATGGATGCGACGGAACTGGCCCAGTTTCTACAACCGGCTGTGGAAGACGTGGTCCGGAACGATTGTGGAGAGTACTGGTACCGCGTATTAAAGCCGTTGCTTCCTTTTGTACTGCCCTATGCCGTGGCCAATCTACAAAAGGAAATCACCAATGTGCTGGATTTGCGAGCCATTGTCATGACATCCTTTGTCCGAGATAAACAAGTGCTGGTGGACTTGTTCCAAAAAGTGGGCCGAGTTGAATTGGAATTCTTGGTCAATTCCGGATTTGGCTTGGGTTTTGGGTTGGGACTGTTGCAAATGCTGGGGTGGGCTGCCACTCCCCGAGCTTGGACACTGCCGGTAGCCGGAGCCTTGGTGGGATATGTCACCAATTGGATTGCCATCAAACTGCTCTTTGAACCAGCCGAACCTGTCCACATTGGACCGTTAGTGGTACAGGGAATGTTTGAGAGTCGACAGGTCCAAGTCTCGGACGAGTTTGGTGGGTTTATGGAAGAACGCGTACTCAATTCCGAACAATTATTGGAAGCTTTAGCCAAAGATGGAGATGACGGGGAACTATTCAAATTTTTGAGGCGGCAACTGCCGTATCCCATCCCCGCGCATATCATTTCGGCTGCCGTCAAGGCAGTCCAGCTAGTGGCCAAGGAGAAGGAAGGGTATCCCGAATTACATGCTTATGTCACTGACAAGATTGATATCAGTGAAACATTGGCCAGCCGTTTGAAGCTGCTGTCCCCGACCGATTTTGAAGACTTGCTCCATCCAGTCTTTCAAGAAGACGAAATTACTTTGATTGCAACAGGTGGTATATTGGGCCTGGTTGCGGGAATGGCACAAACGCGGCTTGGTTGGGGCGGTCCGGCGGCAACACGAAAGGCTCTAGCTACCATTGCAGCAGTGTTGGTGTCCAGCGCGGCTCTTTATGGATCCCAGAAAGTGGAAGAAAAGTTGGATGAACAGGTTCCCAGCAAGACGCCCACCGCAGTGCTTCAAAGGAGAGTCACGGTCGTTCGAGTGGAGCCTTACTAGAGTGCTTGGACACAAGACCCCTGTACCGTAGTACAGTGCGCCCACTCTATCAAAATCTTCCAGTGCAAAGCCTGACCCATCCTGCTTGTAGCTTTACCCTTACCCATGCTTCGGTTTTTTGTACGGTACAGTGTACGGAACACGGTCGCCGCCACGGACTTTCCTTTTGTACCTGGAAGACAGGTTTAGAAGGGTAGTTGCGGTAAATATGGGGTTAAAGTTACGTTTTACCCTTCATTTTTGTGTTTCAACTAAATATATTTTACCGCAGCAACCTGAACTCCAAAGTAGTCCCGCGGTTGATTCAGTCCGTCCAGATCTTACGTCGGTGTCATGTTTTGGAAATGCTACCATTTACTGGTACCGGTAAAGTTGTACGGTACCGGAAGAATATCGGTTTGCAACTGTCTTGAATGATTCTGCAGCACTTGTTAAAGCACCGGGGCATGAGGAGGAACAAAACGATGAGGCCATCCGATTTGAAGAAGCTCGCGTTGCTGCTAATGATTATCGTGCGAAATACGGGAACGAAGAGATGATAAATCTTTCTGCAAAGAAAAAAGTAACATTGAAAGATTTCGTGCGGCGTAACGAAAGCATACCTTGGCGACGATAGTCGTGTTAGCTTTGACCACTGGGATGTGGGGAAGATTTTTCGAGAACGATTTGCAGTTGTTGGTCCAGTTGCTTTCGCTCATGTGAAGCAGGCTCAAATGCTTGCGTTTGGCAGTAATAGCAACGATACTACCGACCAACAAACGACCGGTGCCGAAAAAGTCACAGGCGTCAGTGCTGCTGCAAATGTACTGAATGGGGTCGTTCCTCGGCAGCAAGCTGAGGATGCTAAGCCAGCAGCTGATCCTAACAATGAAGACGGTCAGAGTGGCGGGTTAGGCCGGCGCATAGCACAGTCTCAGGACAGCCATGGGGATGGGAACACCAAGAAACAGCGGACGAAGAAGTATTATGTCTGTTCACTCTATCTTTCAAATGAGTTATGTCAGATAAAATAAAATAACTTATGAATCAAATAGAGAGTCACAAGCGGATCGGATTGTTGGCAGGAGTTGCTCGTCACCTCGTGGCTTCTAGCTAGCTGCAAGTCGCAACAAACTTGATGGGTCATGGCAAGCAGCAATGAAGAGAATGACAGCTGTTGTAATCTCGAGTGGCCTCACGCACATTATGAACAGAAGCTGGGCAACAATATATGCGGTTACAGAACGTTTCTTCGAAGCCACGCACCAAGAATTTCTTCACATACAGATGTCGCTTTTGCTCCCCTTCAAAGTCAAATGACCTCGTTTGAGTAGATCTCTCAACGACCATGGCTTTTCTGTTCGTTGCCCAAAAGGTTTTCTCGCAGTGATGCTTGTCCACCCCATCTCCACAGTTGGGGCATCGAATCTTGGATAGATTCATCTCCTGGCCGCTGGCTGTCCATATCCGCCAATTTGCAGGCCACATTGTTGGTCTTGTGACTCAGGAACCGGATACCATCCACCGCGTTGACATTTTCATGCAAACTTTTCAAGCCCTCCAGTTCTTCTGCATGATCCCGCTTTAGTCTCTCAATCTCTTCCTCCAGTTCCTCCATTCGGGTTTTCGCCTGATTACACTGTTCGATGCACCCGTTGAGATAGGCGAGCAGTGGTTCGAAGCACAAACAGTCGGCCAGTTGCTGGATACACTCCAGTTCAGTAAGGGACTGGGTAATGGGAGACGGAAGGGATTGATATCTTAGATAGTGTAGAATCCAACGAAACGCAATGGGATCTCCGTCAATGAAGTATCGTCCTTCGTGATGGATCCCGTGGGGGCCTTTGTCTGGCTCGTCAATGTTGGACAGGATTCCTTTGTTCTCCGCCAACAAATCCCTTCGAATGGTAAAGAGAGTCCCTGATACGCTCAGGTCGATCAGGGGAGACTGGGTTTCGTGGCTCGAATCGAATCGTCCTTGGTCGGCTTGTTCTGGACCTGCTCCATCCTCTGTAGTAGCTTGCAGAAACAAATAGTAGGAGATAAAACGAAGGAACCCATGGGACAAGGATAACACTTTGCTGTAGTAGTGAGGTAAGATCAGCATGCTTGGAAAGTTCTTTGTTTGGTCTTTGGTCCCGTTGGGTCTTTTTGTCTTTGCGCTGGTTTTGGGTGTGTGTGGAAAGAGTTCGGAGGGAGATGTTGCGGCAAAAAAGGACACGGGAGGTGTAATAGATATACCGGGCGAGCTGAATTAAAAGATGGGCCGGCATAGTAATATTGTTGCAGTTGGCTGAAGGTAGTGTCATTTTTTCCGTCTGAGCAAGTGGCGTGGTAGCTTACGGGAGTTTAGAGGTGTGCAACATGAGATGTTAGATTTTTCCATCTGAGAAAGTGGCATGGTAGCTTACGGGAGTTTAGAGGTGTGCAACGGGAGACGTTAGATTTTTCTGTCTGAGAAAGAGGCGTGGTAGCTTACGGGAGTTTAAATGTGTGCAATGTGAGACGTTAGATTTTTCCGTCTGAGAAAGTGGCGTGGTAGCTTACGGGAGTTTAGATGTGTGCAAATGTGAGGAAAATAATCAGGATCTGTTGCTATGATTATTTAAAAAAAGAGAATGTGCAAGAAATTTGGGGGCTAACGTTTTTAGAAAAACTCTAACCCTAAGGATAAACAACCAACCAAAACCAACCAAACGACCACCACCACAATCAAGGCACCGCAGGTGTTATAGACATACGGGGCGAGTCCGTTAGATGACTGAAATGGAAGCAAGGGAAGTAAAGAGATACAAAGATAGAATAGAAATATGGAACAATGGGTTTTCAACTAGATGTCTAAGAGATATCAAAAGGCCGAATCTAAAAACTATCTACCGTATTCAAAAAACAGTTGTGAGAACTTTATCCCTAAGGATCTTCAACAAACAAATACCATCACAACAAAGGCCCAGAGATACAGGGATATTACCCAGTATCAGGCACCACACAGGTGTCGTACAAATAATGGGAGTCAAGTCTGTTTAGAGGAATCAAGTGGAAGAAGGAAAGTAAAGAAGTATGAAAGATGGAGTAGAATTGCAAAACAATCAATAAGAAATGGGGGGAGAGTGCTTAGGGGGGCAATTTTATGAGAGCTCTAACCCTAAGGATGACCAACCAACCCCCACCACCACCACAATAAACGGGGTCAGAGATCACCGGGGTCTGCCCGGTATATATATTGACAAGTGGAGGTCGCCGTGCGCAAGGTGAAAAGGTCAGACGGAGTTTTGCACTGGCGGGGGACAGACCAAATTGTACGTCGAAAACCGCAAATTGGATCTGTAGCCAATGATGAAAACTAAAATGGCGGTGCAAGTGCTGCCTGGTTGTACGGTACCCAAGCTGTGGGCATTGCCTTGCCATGCAAAGCAAGATGCCAACAGAGTCCATAGTCGTAGCCACTGCAGCGGACGACCAAGGTCGGGCCAGTTTTTCCATGGCCGTCAATTGTCTGGTACCGATAGATCGTACGGCTCTACCGCTAGTAAATCTAGCTAGGCCTATGCTGTTGTCTTGTCGTCATTTTTGTTTGTGGCTTCCTCTTGAAAGAAATTCTGATCCACAATGTACCGAAGAAGCTGCAATGTCAGGGCAGTCTCCCGTTGAATATCTCTAGCAAGTAGGGACCGTAACAGGCTCTTGGGCGGCTCTTTGGTGGACTGCCGTCGTTGTTGTTGTTGCTGCTGCTGTTTCTTGGAAGAAGAAGAATTGGCGCTGTTTGGTCGTTCGTGGAGGAACGTGCAGGCATCTCCATTGCGGCATTTTCCAAACCTGGCAAAGTATCGGCAAATCCTGGTTCGATAGCCATTTGGCTTTTCAGCAGCGGCAATGTCCTCCTTCTTTTCCTCTTGTACATTCTTGTCCATCTCATTTGATGGATTGCCTTTGTCGATATCATTTTTGTTGATGGCTGTCTCCCCTGAATTGACGGTTGTAGTTGTTGATTCCAGCTTCTTTGCCTGGCCTGCATTATTATTGTCATTTTCATCATTATCTTCGGAAGAAGAAGACCCATATCCATCCAACAAGTCCGAAACCCCCGATGCCTTTTCTTCCTTTTGATCTTTTGTTGTAGTACTGTCTTTATCTTTTTGTGATTGTGGTTGAGATTGCTGCTGCTGTTTCCTGGGAAATCGTTTTTTTCGTTCGGCAATCCACTGTTGCACATCTTCGGGTCGATTTCCGACACAAATGCGAAATCGTTGGACTCGGCATCCTGGAACGGCCACCGTCACCGTTTTAAAGCCCCCACTGCTGTACTTTCCATGTACACTTTGAAAATGTGCCTTGACGATCTTGGGGGCGCCTTGAAAGTCGCATTTTTGGCAAGTAATGTGGCTTTCCAAGTGCGCTTGGAGTGCTTGGGGAGTGTCTGCCGATACTTGACAGATGTCGCAAGAATAGGTTTGCTGCTTTTTGCTGTGGATATTGGTATTGTGGTGATTATTATTACTGTAGTCGTCTCGCTTGCGTTTGCGTGGATGCATGTTATTGGCTGGTGGTGGTGGCGGCGGTGGTGGATAGATTGGGTTGGAAGGATATAGGGCGGGATTGTGGTACATGGGTTGTTGAGGTGGCATGGCGTAGCCTCTCCCTGGATATGCTGGTTGATGAGAGAAATTGGAATTGTAGGCATAAGCTGGAGGAGGAGGTGGTCGTGGTGGAGGATGGTTGGGTCGATTGCTGTAAT